ATTTCCTGATTACAAAAGAGAGAAGAATTGATCTGGATTCTCCCCTTTGTTTAATTCTGGGTTCTTCACAGTGGCGATGGAGTGCCTTCCTCGAATACGAGCGTCGAGTTTGCTCTCTATTGACGATCCGAACATCTTGATTCACTGGAACGTGGTCTTCTCCTCATGATTTGACGTTGTGGAGAACTTACATGGCAAGTTTTAGAACTCTGAACGAGTTTGAAACTCTATGAAAGAGTTAATTTAGCCGAAATCGGTCTATAAGCCAAGGATGAAGAAAGCTCCTGTTGCTGATCTCCAAAGCTCCAGTAATCCCCCCCAAGATCTCTTCTTTGCTGCCTAAGAGAAGGCTCCAGCTCCAGGATCCGAACTAAGCTGATTTCTTAGTTATTTATAAGGGATTAAGGGGTGTAACCGCCCCCTTAATTCTCTCTTAAGTGGGGCTAATGGGATGTAACCGCCCCTTAAATCACTTCTAAATGGAGTTGTGATCCCCTCAGATCGTGGAAAACGGTTTTGAAACCGTTCAGCTTGTGTTTCAACGAGTCAAACGCAAAATCTGTGTTCTGGCGTGAATTCTGCGTTCAAACGTAGCGTCTGGAAGCTCGTTTACAGCGTCTGGAAGCTGCGTATGTAGCATTTGGAAGCTGCGTTGGTATCTTGTTGGAAGCTACGTTTGGCAGTGTTTGACAGCGGATGGAAGCTGCGTTTGGTAGTGGATGGAAGCTGCATTGGTAGTAGTTAGAAGCTATGTTGGCAGTATTTAGAAGCTGCGTTTGCAGCTTTCGGAGGCTGTGTTTGCGCTGCGTTAGTGGCCAAGCTTGAGTTGCGTCAACGGCTAAAAGTGCTGTGTCTTGATGCTGGTACACGGGGAGGACTTCCGTGTCTTGGTTTGAAGAGACCGTCGATTTGTAGTCTCTTTCTGTCAGAACGTTGCAAAGATCGTCATTTTATAATCTTTGCTTTAGCTCTTTGATATGTGAGACTCGTCAGATTGCAACTCCCGATGTTAATTGTGAAGGCTATTGATTAGAGTTTTCATCAGTTGTTATGAAGATCGTCAGATTGTAACCTTCATCAATTTACATGAAAGTCTTTAAATTATAGTCTTCTAGAAGCCGTCAAATTGTAACTTCCATCATCGGTGTTTGATGGGGATTAGCTATCTGCAGTGATTTTTAGACAGCCTACACCTGTCCCAAGCCAGGATAAAGGATGAGGGTTGTGTTAGGTAGCCGATAGCCAGTGTAAAACATAGTCGGATTCACATGCAAAATGAATCCTATTATATACTCGTTGGGGTGTCCCCACAGCGATATGTTGCATCGATCCCATTCCGATGCAATGATAAGTAAGCAAGGGTGGTATGTTAGGGCATCCCCCAAAAGAGACGCATTATATCGATGTTACCCCTGTGTAATGATAAGTAAGCAATGATGTTCTAAGAATCTACAATTCACTATTAGGGTACCTAATAGTATTAAGCATAGACTAGAATAGTCTAAGAGGGAAAATGGTAGAAGACTTTTACAAGAAAATAGAATTAGATTAGCTACTTAGAATATAGGTACACTTACCAGAAAGACAATGGAATTAGTGGATGCCATAATTGGAAGAAAGATAAATATAATTTGTTTATAAGAAACTAAATGTATAGGTAAAAAATCTAGAGAAATTGAAAAGACTGGATATAAACTTTGGTACATGGGAAAAGAGAAGAATAGGAATAGAGTGGGAGTTCTTGTAGATAATATAATAAAAAAAGTATTGTAGATGTAAGAAGAGTTGGAGATAGAATAATACTAATAAAAGTTGTCTTAGGTGTAGAGGTTATTAATTGTAGATGTAAGAAGAGTTGGAGATAGAATAATACTAATAAAAGTTGTCTTAGGTGTAGAGGTTATTAATATTATTAGTACTTTGGAGATAGAATAATACTAATAAAAGTTGTCTTAGGTGTAGAGGTTATTAATATTATTAGTACTTACGTACGAAAAAATAGGCTTGCCCGAGAGTACTAAAAGGGAATTTTAGGATAGATTAGATGAATTAGTATAAAGAATCCTAATTGGAGAGAAATTAGATGAAATTAGATGAAATTTGGGATAGATTAGATGAATTAGTATAAGGAATCCAAGTTGGAGTGAAGTTTGTCTGAGCATTGAACTTAGCCAAAAAAGAGCTAAGCTCACCTGAAAGCTTAGTTCGCCAGCTCGCAAGTTAGCTAAGCTCGCCTGAAAGCTTAGTTCGCCGACTTCGCTAGAAGATCATAACTTCACCTGAGACTAGCTAAGCTTGCCTTAATGCTTATCTCACCCACGCAACCCAAGCTCGCCTGTAGGAGGTTTGCCTGCATGATCCAAGCTCGCTATCAGGGTTTAAGCTCGCCTGAACGCTTAAGGGGATTTGTCTGTCAACCTCGCATGTTCGTCTAGTTCGCCTGAGCGGTTAGAATCTGCATACTTGAATTATAGGAGTGGTTATGCCCACTTTCCACATTCGTAGGAGTTGGTTACAACCATCTTTCTCTATAAAAAGCCATGAATGGCTATGGAGAAAGGACTTTTGGCTCTTGAACTTTTGGGAGATTCAACAAGAACCAAACGCAAGACTTTCTTGTGCATTCAGCCTTTATTCTCAAGCTCAGCCTTTATTCAGCCTTTATTCAAATCATCATAGGGAAGCAAACTCGACACAAGCATCGAGGGA